TCAAAACAATGACTATAAAAAAAGATTCCTATACCTGTTTAGAAAACCATAAACTTAGTAGTTGGAGTAAATATGGTGTAATCATTTGCACATCCTTTTCTTTATACTCACAAACACCTTCAGTTAATTATTTATCTTACTTACCAAGTGACAGCAGTTTCTGGCGTTCAGCATTACGAGAGTCCCATGAACAAAGACTAGTGGTCTTTTCATCAGGATACAAAACTACAAAAAAAAAACATTTTAATTACTATTAAGTAAAGCATATTTTATGTAAATGAGACAGGAATAAATAATTAGGCAGTTAGACTTACTGCATGTGCACTACTGGCATATCTGAATTTCAAAAAGGTACTTAAATACAAGAATACAGAATTCATTAAAACTAAATATAATCTTTGGAGCAGTACTCATTTCCCAGAAAGCCAATATTCTACTTTTCTGGACTGATAAATTCAAATTTTTTTACTTAGATTTGACAATATTTTGGGCATAGAAGTTTAATATGTGTAATTTGAGTACAAGATTAAAGACTGAAGCCCCCATACAATTAAAAACTCTGTAAACTAAGTATGTTCATTTCTATACTAAGTCAACAGAGTAAAACAACATATTTTTTAAAGAAACTAATTCATTTACACAACACTTCCATAATATATATATTTTCAATACGAATGCCTCTAACCATAAACTTATCCAAGTTCTTAAAAGGCTGTGGAAATAGAAAAAAAAGACACAAAATGTCTACTCCTAAGTTAATGGAATATTAATATTTGGAGTTGGTGTAACAAAACTATAAACTGTTATTCAGTTTTACAAGTCACGACCTTACCATAATCCTCTGTGTGGTTAAAAACTGCCTGAGCTCGATGTGCTTGTTTCCCCGATGCACCAGCTCCAGTGTAAGCAATCAAACATCGTGACATTGACAGCTCCCATAACTTCACCAGTGAATCTTTTCCACTTGATAAAATGTACTGGAATACAAGAAACATTATCCAAATGATCTCAGATAACAGACAGAATCTAAAAATATTACATGTACTTGTAGCTTAGTATAAATATTATGAGCTAACAAAATATAAAAGCAGAATTACATCAAGTGTATGCTTTATATCATGATTAATTGCAGAATATTGTAAACTAACAAATTATAAAAGCAGAATTACATCAAGTGTATGTTCTATATCATGATTAATTGCAGAATATTGTAAACTAACAAATTATAAAAGCAGAATTACATCAAGTGTATGTTTTATATCATGATTAATTGCAGAATATTGTAAACTAACAAATTATAAAAGTGGAATTACATCAAGTGTATGCTTTATATCATGATTAATTGCAGAATATTGTAAACTAACAAATTATAAAAGCGGAATTACAGCAAGTGTATGCTTTATATCATGATTAATTGCTGAATATTGTAAACTAACAAATTATAAAAGCAGAATTACATCAAGTGTATGATTCTGCAATTAATCATGATATAGAATAATTTGTTAGTTTACAATCAAAAGTGGAATTACATCAAGTGTATGCTTTATATCATGATTAATTGCAGAATATTGTAAACTAACAAATTATAAAAGCAGAATTACATCAAGTGTATGTTTTATATCATGAACAAAGAAGAATTTATTGTTCCTCATACTAAGAGAAGCAATTAGTTTCATTAATTGCAGAAAAGAACTAATAGCATTCCTTTGTCTATACTTTATTGTTCTAGAAAATAACATGATAATGCAACTCTTGTTTTAGTTTAAATGTATATCAAGTAAATCTGATACAAAAATAAATCAATACAAGTGTTTTTGAAAAATTTCAAACTTAAAAACTGTTACTGTTAGTACTACTTTGAAGGAGGGTAGAATTTCAGCCCAAATTAGGCCTGGATTGAACTTCTCGTGCTGTTTAAAGTATACATGTGGAAAACCACACTAACTTGTGTACTCGTAGAAATCTAACCAACGGAATAATTTCACCCCAAGTATGCCACTTTATTGATAAAAGTATACACTAGAAAAAACAATGAAGAAACATGTGCAAAAATATTCTTTTTTTTTTTTAAATTGTAAAACTTGAAAATTTTTAAGGTAGTCCAGTCCTTCCTTTTTTTTTTCAGATGTGTATTCAATATGAGAATAAAGGATGTTAGTTTGTATACAATATATCAAATTGATTTTTTTTTACCTTTGAGTTACGAGAGAATACAACAGAGGACACTTCATTTCCATCATGTGCTTGTGAGAATGTATTAATGCATTTATTGCTGACTCCATCCCAAACTTTAATGTCTCCATCCTTGGAACTTGTCACATACAAGTTGGCATTTGGACTGTACTTTACCTGAAGAAATCAGGAATTTAACTAATAAATAACTTGCATTAGAAATTTCAAACTTACAAATATCTAGTAAATGAAAATAATTTTTACACAAATCAACTGTGCATATTGTACAGTTATGGAATATTTATGCACATTTATCTGCACATTTTAAGTTATAATAAGAAGAAAGTAAATCTTTCACTACAAAATAAACGTAGTCAAAGGAAAATTCTAATGAAACATTAAGTACATAAAAACTTTAATTGCACTCAAGCACCACAACTAATAAATATTTAATTATCATGTATTTATATCAACATTCTAATGTAATTTTTTCCACAAGTTCTGATGAATATTAAGTATTGAAACTGAAAAATATCTAAAATATGTTGTACTTTCAGTACTTAATAATCTAGGAAAAACATCTAAAATATGTTGTACTTTTAATACTTAATAATCTAGGAAAAATATATAAAATATGTTGTACTTTCAATACTTAATAATCTAGGAAAAACATCTATAATATGTTGTACTTTCTGTACTTAATAATCTAGTAAAAATATCTAAAATATGTTGTACTTTCAGTACTTAATAATCTAGGAAAAACATCTAAAATATGTTGTACTTTCAATACTTAATAATCTAGTAAAAATATCTAAAATATGTTGTATTAGATTATTAAGTACTGAAAGTACAACATATTTTATATATTTTCCCTAGATTATTAAGTACTGAAAGTACAACATATTTTATATATTTTTTCCTAGATTATTAAGTATTGAAAGTACAACACATTTTATATATTTTCCCTAGATTATTAAGTATTGAAAGTACAACATATTTTAGATATTTTTCCTAGATTATTAAGTACTGAAAGTACAACACATTTTATATATTTTCCCTAGATTATTAAGTATTGAAAGTACAACATATTTTAGATATTTTTCCTGGATTGTGCGAGTTTTATTTGTTATGAGGCTTGGGGTATATTGTATCCATTAAATGCAAGCAAAAAACTGCTTTGTTTTTCCAAGTGTATATTGTGTTTATGAAACCTCTATGCCCCTACTAATGTGATATTGTATATTTAATGTCCAGAAAAATTGAATGAGCTTCTCTTTTTGACCCATGACCTTCAAAACTTAATTAGGTCCAGAACTTTGTATGTAGTACTTGTTGTATATATTTAGTCGAAATACATCCATTCAATCTTGAGATATCGTGACTACAAGATTGGGATGGACAGGGGGCAAACTAATATCGACTTTGCAAATCAGTAGTTGTGTTTGGGGTATAAAAGTTAATAATTATTGTTTTAATTTAATTATAACACACACACACACACAATTCAATATTATTTACCACTACAGAGACATGTAAGATGAGTCACTTCATCCAAACATACCATTGTTACTGGTCCTTTATGTTGGTCTTCAGGTATGCTTGATACATAACACTGTCCCGTATTTGCATCATACAACCTCACTGAAATACATACATTTTAAATTATCTTAAGATACAACAATAATGAATGTTAGTACCAGGTGTAATATGACAACACAATAAGACTAATAATAGTATTCATCACATCATTCATTTCTGATCTCATATGGGTTTGCAATATTAGAGAACATTACAACCTAAATAGTGTAGTTAAAATGCTGTTAAACGGTAGTTTTACTGGAAACTCATTCTGTGCCAGTAAAGATGAATGTGACTTTTGAAATTATAACTATCCCTTACTGTGATTACCAAATAACAGATTACACATCATCACCCAAGGCATTTACACAACAATAACTTTTATTTTCATAAAGAAACCTCAAACATTTTGCAAAGATAAGAAAGTAGGTTCTGATAAAGAGAAATATAGTTCAGGATGAAAAACCAGCAACACATAATATAAACTTTAGACTGAGGAAAAACATACGTAAATAAAGGGTTTAACTCACAGGTAGATTGCTGGGTTCCTACTAGTAGAAAGTCCCCTGAAGGATGAATTGATAAACATCGTACCATTTCTGCTTCCTTGAGAGAGAGAGGGAAAAAAACCATGAACAGGTTCATAGCAATACATTCACTTTTAACACCTTTGTTTCTGCATGGTTCCAATAGACCCATCACCCATAGGTAATGTTTTAACCATGTTCACTAGTTTCTTCTTCCTAATAATAATTTTAATCCCAACTGCTTTGGAGTTGGCCAGTAATTTTTACACTTGGATGGCCAGTACATGTGGCAACCATACAGGACAAGCATGTTTGGTGATGGAGATCTGAACTCTCGACCCTCAGATTGCTAGTTGGGTACTCTAACCAGGCCCAACTATGTTCAGTAGTTATATCATTAAAAAAATAAAGATAGTGAGCATGACTATATCATTAAAAAAAGAGAGAGAGAGAGAGTAAATAATTGAAAATATGTGAATTTAGTTCTTAAAAAAAAGAATTTTACAACATTAAGATTTCTCTGAACTTCTTGGATTTTTGAAATTGGTACCAGAATGATAATATAGGCTGATTCAATCCTTTATACTTTCACATAATATAATCCATTACATCAAAGAGGAGACACTCTTAATTAAATACAAAACAATACTTATATATATGATTATGATAATTAGTTCAAAAGCATACTAAAGTCTTCTTGAACAGACTAAATTTTAATGTTGAAATGTAGAAACAGGTTTTTAAAATAATTTTGTACTAAAAAGTGATTTATTTAATCAATAAGTTACAGCCAAGAAGGATAAGTAACTTTAAAAACAACAACAATTTCCACATGTTAAACCAAACATGGAATTATTATTAAATACATAATTACACATTCTTATTTTAAATAACTTTATACTAGAGGTAGACCAATCATCAAAGTTCAATCTATTTAAAATCACTGGAGCTAAATAATAAAAAACTTAGAACTCAAAATCAAAGTACTTCTTGGACAGTAGTAGTTACTTCTATGATGAAAAAAATATAAGTTATCTCTAGAAGGGATTAATAAATTCATTTCAGGATCAAATACTATAATATCTCTTGCAACACAAATGAAGCAGTAAACACAGATCTGATAAGTAGTTAAAAGTCCATTTTCCTTAACTTTTTTGAAACTGATATTCTATAAGGAAACCCTATCATTAGCCTCAAGACCCTCTTTTGTAACCACCAGACTGTTAATTAATTCTGACTATTTTTGTCTTAAGTTTTATTGGGCATAAACAGACCTTCATTTTTCTTTACATGTTTCTTTAATATGAAATTACTTGCAGCTTTTGCTTCCTAGGCTTGCCTATAATATTACTGTACACAGGTAGTTAAGCCACACTGTTCTGGTAGGGGAAGAAAGGAATGCCAACACTATAAAAGTAGAGATTTTAAGTTTTCTGTTTCACAAAAAGAAAAAGGAAATTTTTGAAAAAGAAAACACGCAATAAGAACTTACATGTATGGTTTTAAAGGCCCTCTTAACTGATGGTTTCGAAAAATCAAAAAACTTTACTGTATAGTCTTTACTTCCTGAGATTAGTACTTGTTCTGTTGGGTGGAATTCTAAACATGAGACTTCCTAGAAAAAAAAAGAATGAGCAGTTTTTGTTCTTTACATACATATGAGCTTTATTTTCATCACCAAAAAATATGCTTTGCTATATATCTATTATTCTGACTAAGTCTACTTCAAAAATTATTTTACTTAGAAAGAAATGATTGAAATTATACACAAGACTTTAGAAACAAAGGCATAGTTGCTCCTAATTTTGAAGCAATAGAATAGATGGAAGCAAGCTAGTCAATACTAGGGCTAGCAATTAGTGTTAATCAATTAATCTTCAAGATAATTAACTGATTACATTAAATTAATCAGTTATTCTCAAATGACACTTGGATAGTTGGTGTAATCACAAATAGTAATACGTGTAACTAGAAACACTAATTTTAATTACATGATTATGTTTGGGAGTCACTAAATTAATGGACTAAACTGAACAGCCTTGAATTAATCAAAAACAATACAAAAATGATAAAGGTAATATCTTTATAACTTGCATATTTCGAATAATCAAAAAACACTAATTTTAATTACTCGAGTATTTCACTTGACACTAATCGATGCTCATAGCTAAGTGATTAAATTGATTAATTGTCCAGCTCTAATCAATACCGCTCACCACAAACTCTTGTTCAGACAAAAAGTGGGATTTGACTGTCACTCTTACAATGCACCCATCATATGAAAGTGTATAATATTTGGGGGGGGGGGGGGATTAATAGGGTGGAAACCCCTGAACCTCGGGTCCAGTCTGGCATTTTAACCATTAAGCTGTGTTCAACCCACTTCCATACAGATTTCACAAAGAAACATGTCATAAATGACCCAAAGTAAGCATAACCCATGTGTTTTAAAACTCATGTGATGCTGTAATTTTCTTGTGGCTTAATATAGATATAGATAAAAATACTATAAAAATTTATTTATCCAGTAGTTTGCTTTCATGCTTTTTTTTTCACACTAATAACAACAAAAGTCTTAAGAAAATTACACTGTATAAAGTTTCATATGATAATACTGCAACTATATAAAATATGTTGGGAATAAAGGCATATTACAACAAGACAGGCTATCTTGTAAATGAAAAGCATCATAACTAATAAATGATGTCAAAAATTATGTTTGTCTTTTTAAACAGTATGTGACTTTTTATTATCTCAAATGTCATCATCTTTCTTTTACTGAGTTGGTATGCCCTGGAATATACGATAGTTAATTACCGTATTTTTCGGAATATAAGACGCACCCTTATTTTGAAGACAAAGTTTTTGGGGAAAAAAAAGCTACAGTCACATTTGAAAGATTTTT